TTAGAGAGAAGGGGGTGTTCAAATATCTTACTATACTTGGAATATTTTCTGTTCCCTCTTTCATTCTGACAGACCCTCCTTACCCGAGAATCTCTCCATCACAATATTCAGTTTATTCCATGCAAAGCACTAACAATCTGTGGCCTTTTGTTTGTGTGCCTGATTCTTGTCTCTGGTGGGGTATAAATCACAACAGCGAGGACCTTGTCTTCTTGTTTTTCACTGAGTTGCCAGCACCTAGAAAACTGTCAGGCACATTATGATAACAGATACATAATACTGTTATTTAAATCCTTTGAGTCCACTGGTCCAGAATCTCTCTTGATGGATTTGTGCAATTGGAAAGAAGGCATATTAGCCAGTTCTTAGGTTATTTTCTCTAGACACCAGTTGGGATAAGGTGTGGAAGAAGCTGATGAAATCCTCTATGACTTCAATGGATTTTTATCCTGTGTTGTATCATTTGCAACATTTTTACCCTACTAGACTTGAAATATTTTCAGCTTCTCTTTTTATTCTGTCAACTTTTGCTTATGTTATGTATTTTGAGGCTCATTATCCCCCAGCCCTGGTAGTGGGGATTGAACCCAGGACCTCGCATATGTTAGCAAGACCTCTATCACTGAGCTATATCCCAAACCATCTTTGAACTTTCATTTTGAGACAAGATCTTACTAAGTTACCCAGGCTTAGCCTTGTGCTTGGGGTCCTTTCATCTCAGCTTGTCAAGTAGCTAAGATGTGAGGCTGGACCACCAGACTCTTAGACACATGAGCTCTTAGAATGATCATGCTTCCTTGCCAAGTGACTCTTCAAGTCAATCCCCTTGGTCAGTATATTCATGAGTTGTGCTTTAAAAACCAAATCTGACTGGGAGGAGTGGAGGAAGGGCAGGTTGTGGTCAGGATGTATTTCACGAGAGAAGAATAAATAAATAACTAAACAAACAAATCTGTCCTTTTATTTGAATATTTTGGGTTGTTTTTTGTTCTTGTTTTTATTATTGAAATAGAGTCTTCCCTCATACAATACATCTCAACCACAGTCTCCCCTCCCTCCACTCCTCCTAGGATCTCCCCCCAATTCTTCTTTCCCTTACCCACTCCCCCTCTGTTTCCTCTTCAGAAAAGAGCAGGTCTCCAAGAGTTGACAGCCAAACAGGACAAAACAAGATACAACAAGACAAGGCAACCCAATAAAAGGAAAAGAGTCTCAAGAGCAGGCAAAAGAGTCAGAGATACATCGGCTCCCACAGTTAGGAGTCTCACAAGAACACCAAGCTATCATTTAATGTAATTATTAATATGATTTTATGATTAAATTTTAGCAGCACAGTTTTTAGTTCATCTGCTTTTAGTTCCTCTATCCACAGCCCTTTTTCACTTCTTTTGGATGGCTTCAACATATTTTATATTGTTTTAACTTATGTCCTAATTTTTTTTTTTAGCTATAACATCTTGAATTCCTTTTTAAATGACCTGGTAATTCCAGTTAACATCCTTGGATTTTCCCAGTGCACTAGTTAATACTGTATCTCATCACATAGAGTGGTGTAAAAACACTGGAACAGTATAGTCTATTGGTCACTCCTTCACACTCAATGTAAGTCCACAGACCTATGAAGCATCATTGCCTGTGTGTGTCATTTTATTTATTTTTTGCTCCTTGAAAGATTTCTCTTTGTGTCTAGTATTCAATAGTTTAATTATGATGTTGAAGTTTTATTCATAATTTCCCTGTTTGGGGTTCATTGTGATTTGGGATGTGTAATTTACATCTTTCAGTATAGAAGCTTTTCAGCCAGTATTTTTTCAAATATATTTCTGCCTCATTATTTCTGTCCTTTCTTTCCATCTGGAACTGTAATTAACTATATACTTTGGACATTGTCCCACATGTACTTGAAGATTGCTCTTTTTCTTTGCCTAATCGTTTTTGTCTCTTGTCTTTGGACAGGATAATTTCTGTTGATTAATCTTCCAGTTCACTCACTCAGCCGTTCATTAGAAGAATGTTATTATGTTATATTTTCCATCCAAACTTAAGGCTACAACCTGGGTTTTAAGTGCAGCAGACATCTATAATGATTAGACGTACAGATATTAAAAATATCATGATTTTGAATATAACATAGTTAAAAAGCTGTCCTCTTCTTGACTGTCCTTTCAATGCAAACATAGTGCCTGGCATGTAGAAAATATTCAAGATACCGATGTCAATAAACGGCTATAACCAAATGTTAAAATTATATTATCAGCTCAGTTCTGTGGATCCCAGAAGAAGAGAGATGAGTGGAGATGGAGGATCAGAGAGAGAACACTCCATTTGAAGGACTGGCCCTGTTGCCACTAGCCTTCCTGAAAAGAGGAGCTTCTCATGACCTGGCTATGGGTTTGAAAGCCCCTTAGGGAAAAGGAGTGTCTTTGACTGTGAGGTAGATATTTTACGTCCCCTGAGCATGCTCTCCTCTCACACTCCCCAGGAGGCCCTGTGCATGGAGGCTCACCTCATCTTCCCTTCCTCTTGTGGGCCACAAAATGTTCTGGAAGAACTTGCCTGCTTCATCCACTTTGTCACAACACTCTTAGGAGAAGAAACCTATTCTGTTCCCCAGAAATTGACTTCTTACCCATGAAGACCATAAAAAAGGAGTCATTTTTTGCTGGGTGATGGTATTGCATGCCTTTAGTCCCAGCACTTGGGAGGCAAAGGCAGGTGGATCTCTGAGTTCAAGTCCCAGCCTGGTCTACAGAGTGAGTTCCAGAATAGCCAAGGCTACAAAGAGAAATCCTGTCTCAAAAAACAAACAAATAAAACAATAACAGAGTCATTTTTAATTAATCCATTGCATTACTTAATTTAAAAAATTTAATACTATGCTATTTCTAAAGTTTGAATGTATTTTTTTAATGTCCCTGCCTGAAACCCAGGCCTGGAAATATTACATATAGAAAATGTACATGTGACAGCAGTTGTAACCCCAGAAGCACTTCTCTAGCACCTCAAGCTGAAGTGGGAATAGACTTCAGCAAGACCATGTGGGTTTTGTGTGCACTTTTACTGAGTGGAATATGATGCTTAGGATTTCTACAGCAGTGCATTAACCATGCTTAGGATATCTACAGTAGTGCATTAACCATGCATGCTTAGGATGTCTACAGTAGTGCATTAAGCATGTTTAGGATGTCTACAGTAGTGCATTAACCATGCATG